GCCCGCCCGCCTAGATATATGGGTGTGTGTGAGAGATATTACAACAATTACAGATTATATAATATATAGAAAATTACGTACGGTTACTATTTCCACCCTTTTGGTAACATTTAGGAATAATTTTTGTCAAATTTACGACGAGCACCCCCTCTTCAGCGGTCCTTTTTCCCCCGCAACTGCCCACCTATTTGGGAATTACAATACTGGTCACTCATGATTTCAAAATTTTGCATACAATGTGGTCTCGTAGAAGCATACTGTGTATCTACTCCCTTGGTTAAAATACCTAGCTACGCTGATTTTTCCGGTCTAAAATTTTGGGAACCATATAGCAATTATTAGATGATTAATTTTAAAAACTACAGTTTGATTTTTTAGTTTTGTGACACTTAAGATCTAGCCATTCAAAAAATTAGACGGTCTCGATTCAATCTTGAGGCATTATTTTTCCTAGTATATAGGGATTTTATTTAATTTATTTGCTGAGATTATTCTATGTTTTGTAGAGATTATATTTCCAAAATTTGATATCTAAAAAATATGCCGAACATATATTTTGCTTGAGGGAGTAAATAGATAGTATGCCCATGCAGGAGTAAATAATTATTCTCTAAATAATTATCCTCTCTCTTCTCTGATTCTAGCTCCTCTCCCTCCTGTCGGGTGTTGTAATTGCCGGACACGAGAGCAGTTTTGAAAAAAAAAGGCAATTGATTTTATTTTATTTATTTAATTTTTTTATTAGGGTAGTAAAGGTGTGAGTGCTTGTCTTAATGTGGCAAAAAATGCTTCCATATGGTAATAAAGGGGTGGAAACAGTATTTATGCATAATTTTCTCTATAATAATAAAACAATATACATTAGCAATAGACGATAAAAATATAAAATATATTTCAAAATATTTGTCTAAACACCCACGAGAGATGAGCTACTTAACATTCTATTCTTATTTCAAGACACCCATCAAAAGACAAAGAAACAAGCGTTGGAGTAGTTGCAAATGGGTAAAATGATAAATAGATTATCTCTAATGAGGATTTTGGTAAATTTCTGACATATTTTACATACAAAAAATGTTTATATAAGGTTGAGGCCTTAAACAATCAATTAAGGCGCAACTCAAAAATTCACTAGAAATGATGTTTCGATATAAAAAAGCCATCAAATTGTTGATCTCAATAGTGAGATGTATAGATAAGGAAAGAAATGGATTTCAAGTCTTGGGAATAGTGTATTTTGTAATGTATTATCTGGGCTGTCAATTTTTAATATTTTCTAGTGTTCATAGATTCGCTCAATCTATAGGTTTTTTCAGCTTTAAATTTTATAATCAGAGTTGAAAATAAATTTTTAGGCTATCACAAAAGTTTTGGCTACTGAAAAGGCATTTTTCAACACTTTAGGCTATCACAAAAGTTTTGGCTATTGAAAACGCATTTTTCAACACTATAACGGTTACGCTATACTTTGGTTGTTTAGGGCCTCAACTTTATACAATCCACTCCCCTTACAAGTTATATACTACTTGTCATAAATTTTACCTGAAGATGTAGTTCCATTGTAGGAAACCTTCTGATGGCTTGAAAATCTATGTCCAAACCTAATTATGAAATTTAAAATTTTAAAAACAGTGCATATCGATCAAATAAATAAATAATTAAAAATCTTAAAAATAGATGGTCCAAAACCCTTGTTACGAGATACATTATTTTTAAAGCTTAAAAATCATTTTTTTCTTTATAACCATATATCTGGAGGTCAATATTGAAAAGTTTGTCAACTCTGGATTAGTCTTTTCTACTTGACTTTTGATGTACATCTTACTTGTATAGTATAATGTTACAACCTTATGTAAGTTTTTTCCTTTAAATAACTTCACCTATATTTACATCAAAAAATTAAGAACATGGGTAACTTATCATCTAAAGTTAGGCTTATATCAATTCACTAGGAGTCTATTAATAGAACCCAGCAAATATTTACATAAAAATACATCAGTCTGATATTTAAATATGGTAAATATGAATTGATCCAAATTTATGGGAAAATTATGCTGAGATATAGTAGTCCGATATTTACAAAATCACTATTTTTAGTCATTTTTTATTTTTGTTTTACCAATTTTTTCCTTTAGTTATATTATTTTTTTAATTTTTTATAAGTATATGGAGCAGTTCAATGTTGGAAACGTCAGACCGGCCAAAACCTCACTTGTTTTAAGGTATATGGAACCGAAATTCCAAAAACTTTTCCAACCATTTATGTCCTAAGTGGTCAGGCCTATCACACAAAACTTTAAAATTTTGCAAAGTTAGACTCACCGTTTTAGAAACGTTAAAAAATGCTCATGGGATCAATAACACATTAAAAAATTGAAAAGAAATTTGTTGTCCATCGGATTACCTAGAACTTGGTAATAGTGGAAGAGTTAGTTGGTAGTAGGGCGGTTTGATATTAGTGATAATGGACGCACTATTTGTTTTTTTTATTACAAAAATTAAAAAATAAAATAAAAAATAGTCTAATGTTTCCAACATCACACTGAGGGGCAAAATTTGAAAAGAATAAATAGACCTCCGCATAATATTTGCATAAAATTGTATCAATTCATAATTACCGTATTTAAATACGGTACAAGAGTAATTGTTCCTAAAAATTAAGAACATTTGTACTTTATGGTGTTAATCCTAGGTTGATATAAAAAATTTAGAACATTTGTACTTTATGGTGTTAATCTTAGGTTGATATCAATTAAATAGTGGAATCCTTTAGTTATGACATAAGAGCCACGCAAAAAACATGGGCTATTCTCAGCACACCACATTTTTTCCAACTAAGGCTTAATTGGTAAGGGCTTGACGATTTGTATGCTAAGTCCTAAGCTCAATTCCTACTAAAAGTAGCGGTACTCTCCCCATTGATTCAGCCAACAAATTATTCATAAAGGATACATAGTTTACTGCGGTCACAATGTTCACACAAGCACCAAGTGATAAGAAAAGGAACGTAGGTGAAAAGTCACCATATTCCTTACTGATGAATGTCTTTATTACAAACACAACCACACAAACATAGTGGCATTCAAACTACCCGACAAGGTTTGAGATCAATGATTTCCATGGCTGCCTCGACGAGAGAAGTCGAAACCCAAGCCATGGTGTCTTTGGTAAGGAAGTGACAGACAGGTTCGCTGCCCGGCTTGGTGCCAAGCACCTTGAAAGCAGCATGGTCAGTGTCCCAGTGAGAGCTATCCAAGTGACAACCTGCTGCTGCATCAATTTTATTTCCATCCTCACCTTCAAGTGTCACCTTGAATACTCTGGTTTTAGGCACATCATGGCAATAAAACGCAGCATATGGGTAAGGCATAGTATGACACGCTGTTATAGATGACAGTGGCAGTTGAACATGAATCTCTTGCACGGTGTAAGCCTGAAGGGAAGGATGAAGCGGCCTATTGTGTATGGTAGTGGTGAGCTTTTGAAGGTTGGCCTTAGGGCCAAGGACTGATGATACAAAGTCCTGCATAGACTTGATGCTTGTGGCACAAAGCTTGCGTCTGCCTGTTATTGTAGCTTCCTCGCATATCATAAGGGTTTCCTCGAGTTCTTTAGATTGAGGCGACTGCAAGGTAATTGAGAAGTGTTGTAAGATTTTGATGAGCGAAGTAGATGCAAAGGGAATGGAGCCGGCTTCATCGGATGGTAAAAGGGGGGGGGGGCTTCAGAGAAGTCAATAGTTGAAAGTAAGCAGCGCCTGCTGGAATATGATCTATATGGGAGGTAGAATGGTCCTGTTTCATTACATGGGGATCTATTTTTTTGACGTTGTGCTCATGGTCAAAAGCCTTTGTAGACGTTTCTTTAAATGCAATGGCATCTTTTGGGAGATGATAGAGGTAGTAGATAAAGTTCCTCCTACAGTCATAATCCTTTACAATTGTAGTTTGAGATCAAGAACTCAATGAAAGGTGAGATCTGTCATCTTTGTGACCTCCTACTTGCTCTTCCAAAACCCTTGCATGAATACAAGTAAGCTGCACAATTAAAAGGGCAAAAGTAAGCCCCCCTAAGAGAGGGAAAAAAAAACCACCAAACAAATATTATGTGCTATTAAATATACTGTATAGAAGTTTTATACTTCTCCCTATCCAGCCCTTATATTTAGATCAAATGAGCAATTGATCTTTTGATCTAGATCCGACATCTCATAGTATTTTATTTTTAATTTTTATTCAATAAATTAGATGAATATGAAATTTGGTATGTGTCATGATGTCAATGGGTCGCACCTAAAAAACATATGAAAGAAATACTTTCAATAAAATAAAATGATCAAAATATCCATGAAACTTTCAAAGGTATTTTGGTCATTTTATTTGATTGGGAATACGTTTTTTATATATTTTTTGCAGAAGCTTAAGAGAGGAGTGGATGCCCAAAGTTTGGTGTCAAAATGTTTTGTATAAAAAATTTAAAATAAAATATTGTAGATGTGGGACATTGTAATTAGATCCATCTCAGCCGTTCATTCACATCTGACAGTAAGAAGAGGAGGCAAGCTTAATCATAACATTATTTTATCTCATCTCAGCTAGTCCACCCTTTTTTTGGCCTTTTTTTTTTTTTGGATGAGCTTGCCTTTTTTATTGTTCGTTGCAATATTCTAACCTTGAACCTAAGTAGGGAAAAATTGGAAAAAGAAAACAAGAAAATGAAAAAGAAAAAAAAAAAGAAAAAGAAAAAAGAAGAAGAAGAAGAAAAAGAAAGCACCATGGTTTCAACCTAATAACATATTGAATATTGTCTTATTTATTTATTTATTTATATTTTGAGATTAATGAAATTACATCTACAATATTTGGGGTCCTAAAAATCTCCTACATTGGATTTTCCTTGAGGGGGTGAATGGAGGATATGTTGCCGGGAGCGTATAACCTTTTGACTTATCAAGTGGCTTTCACTGACTGTAATATTTTTTCTAATTAATCCAATGTCAAAAAGTATCTTTCAAAAATTCCTATGCTTTTTATTTGAATTTATTTGAAAACATATATTTTGAATGTGTCTTTGATACAAGAATAGAATCACATGATTTAAACACTGGCTCAAATCCTATTAAATTGATTGAAGAAAAAGCAATTAGTTAGAATTGATTGATCGCCTTTTCTTAGTTGTTCTAAGAAACAAACAAACTCTAAATTAAAAAAAAAGAACAATTATTTAAAAGGGATCTTCAATTTAAGTGTATCTTCTTTTTTTAGAAAAAGGTTTGAATATGTTTTTTGCTTTTTCTTATTTTTTATTTTAAATTATATGATTGGATTGCCTTGATCGGTAATAGGTAATCCGATTTTGTACAGCAATGGACTAGTTCTGACGCTTGATTCGGTTTTTAAAACACTGGCATAGACATGGCACTAATTTCATACAAATAATGCTTGGTTTCTATTGGAAATATACACATTTATGCTAGTTATATCTATTGCTTTTTATTTGTTGTAAGGAAAATACAACACATACATTGCTAAAGCTGTGCTTACCACATGGAAAGTAAAGTTTTAGCAAGGTTAGCTGCCTAACCGACCTCTTTTACCTGGGCTTACCTACCTCATATAATCAACCTCTTTTACCTGGACTTGGGACGGGATAAGAATAAATGTTGACCACATGCTCTTGTCAAAAGATTATGTCCTCCCTCAAGTAAAAGGAGTATTTTTAGGACCCAAAATTAAAGATGTAACCTCCCCCAAACAAAACAACATTCAAAATATTCAACTGGTATTTTTGCTACACTAGTTACAAATATGCAACTAGTAATATGATTTGGATCACACAACCTGTTAAATTGGTGTTGAAAGCCAAACCAAACTGTTTTCTGGTGGTCCCTTACAAATCCTTTACTAAAAAATACAATTTAACTCAATACAATGCCCAAATACTCACAATATAGATCTAGACGACATATTACATGACGTGCACTTAAAATTCCTCATTACATCAAAATTATATGATAAATCTATCTTCATTCTTCATCCTCATCATATATCACAATGTCTCATACATATTATATACTTGGTTATAATAATCCAATGAGATTTCAATTTACATAAATAATAAATTATAACATTAAAGCATACAAATTCTATTTTTCACTTAACATACGCAATTTCTTCAATCATGAATCGTTTAATAACTATAAATACAGTAAATAAACATGCCTATAAATATGTGAGAAGCCAAGGTTAGAACCCCTTGTATCCGGGCCACAAATTCGAGCCCTTTAAGGACTTAATTTTGTCCCAATGAATAGTGCAAGTGTGGTTTATAATCTCAAAGTTGTCTAATCCAATTAGGAAGCTCTTACAATTTTTAAAATACTTCTTAGAGTCCACAAAATAGATTTAGAAATGTTTGCAAGAAGAATAGAGCAAATAAGATGAATATGGAACAAGATAGAGCAAAACTACTTGTGGAGGTCCACCGGTCCACCACAACTTTTCATACAAAAGTTCATACTCTAAATGACCAAATACACTTCTAAGAAGATCTTAATATCTTTTGAATTGGAATAGCAAGACTTAGAAATTCTCAAGAGAATTTGTACAAGGTAGATCAAAGGAAACTATACTTGATCAAAGGTTTATCAATACATAAAACACATAAGCAAGTGAGAGTCACGTTATGTAAGAATGACATGAAGAAAATATCAAAATGGAGGTGTAAGGAAGCTAAAACATGTTTGTAAATGAATTTTCTAAGAACCTTTGATCAAGGATAAAACCATATTTGACATAAAACAACTTAGAGAGATAATACCTTAATTATGGTATGAGATAAGCTTGATCTTATAGAGTGAAGGACCATCATCAAGCTTCAAATATCATCAATAGAAGATGAGAACTCTCAAATGGAAATGTGTGGTATGTAGAGGTCTCGAGGTTTGCTCTCTCTCTTTCTCTCTCTACACAATTCAAGCAAGATCAAACTTTCCAAGTGGGTAGGGTTTGGGACTTAAAACAAAAAATATACATAGTATGTAAGATTAAATATCAACAACACTCTTGATGCATCTATCCAAAGGCTCATGAGAGGCTAATATACCATAGCTACGCATCCCCATCCAACCACTATGATGAATGGATGAGATTTAACACCCTGATCACCAACATTAAACCCTAAATAAGGCCACTTTACCCTTTTGTCTTTAGGTCCATATTTTTATTCCTAGTCAATCCAACTTACCCTTACACAAAAGGCCTTAGTTTTAAATAATCAAACAGTGTGGAGATCCATCAAGTGCAATGGGCAATAATGTAAATGGTAAAACTCACACATGTAGAAAAGCACACCAAAGGCAATTACTCTATAGATCTAATATTTCAAACCAACGGCACTGAGTGTAATGTCCCCTTCACACATGTGTGAATATGTTTTTTGAAATTCAAATTCAAATTTCAATTTTACTTTAGATTCAATATTTAAATTAAATTAAAATGGACCTCACGGATGCCAACAAAGGTACTTGTGTGATTTAAATAAACATGTGACAAAACTGTACCTTAAGTTATAACATAATATAACAAGTCAAATAACAATATATAACAACATAACAAAATAATATATATGCGATCCACGTTCCACACCTTGGGATTAGTGCCCCATTGGGCATTGATCTTATGGTGGGGCCAAGGGTGCCACGTGGCCACCTTATGGCCACTCAGGTGTGTTATATGGCAGTCCTCAAGTGGGTCTAAACAAATACTAAAAGTACCTTTCTGTCGATAAAAAAATTTCAAAAATTTCTATAAAATTTACAACAAATATTTAAAATATTTATAAGCATTTATTCATCATACTGAATTGGACAAAAGGTAAGTGAGATCTCATGCCTTAGACCCTAGGTATCAGAATACACCATTGGGCTAGTCCCAAATGATGTTCGATCGGTGTCTCAAGCTGACCCAATAGACCCATACTCTACAGTCTATGACAGAGACACATAATTGGTTATATCAAAGTCACTGAGCCAGTGCTTTCCATCATTCGACTCTCAATGGATTACATGTGTACCTGTGTGACATATTTCAATACAAGTACATGGGTCCTCTCAAAGCACATATGCATTGGCTCTTCCAAACTTGGATAATGAATTTGAAGGAGTGCTTCTCATGTGAACGTTAGTACACATGCCATGGAATAATCTCGTGTCAGGATATAGACTTATGTCTTATAAGTCCTGACCTTCCCATACAGGGCCATTATTCATAAAAATACTCAGGTTTTATTGTACTAGATTGGATACTGTAAGCCCTAGCTAATCACAACAATTATGAGACTAATATAACAGGATCCTGACTAGGAGGTGACCCTCACACCTCCTTGAGAAATTGCTTTCTCAAACGTAAAACTCTCATAGCCTCAAGTACTCGGGGTATTAGAAGAATCTGGGCCACATTTCACAAAGCACCCAGATTCTATCTCTCAATCACTCCCACTTAATGAGACACTATTGGTATTCATGCCTTGAAAAGCCATATATCCAACACGAGACATGTTAACACTCAAAGAGTAGCTATTAAGTTTGTTTATGAGTTTCAGATCGCTCTCATGGAGGAAAACAAGGACATATCCTATGATATGCACAATACCTTGATGTCTAGAGTGATGGGATTGCTAATCCATTTGTCTAAATTTGTACTTGATGTTGACATTCTTTGTCGAAAGGTCGAAATCCTTTCCAGATGTTAACTGAGACATTTTGATCTTCTTTCACATCCAAATTTCTCGAACTGGCGTCTTTCGGTCCAAAATCATTTGAGTTCAAAATTTAAGACATCATGGATGCAGCTTGGACTTCAAAATTTAAATATATAAAGAATAAAAAGTATGGGAATTCAAAGAGGTTAGGATTAGGAGGTGGGCTTGGACTTGAGTAGTTAATAGTTGACTTGGCAATGCTACATCTTA